AGAAGTACATGTCAGCTCTCCACCGCCTTGGCATTACAACCCAAGCTACAGTACAATATTCATAATTTTCTTGGTGATCTCCCAGAAAAACCTTCTTAATTTAATCTCTAATGGGATTATCAGCCTCATTAAATTGTAAATCTGCCACAGTCCAGCTGTTGTGGGAACCTGAACTTTTGTTATCAATTCGCTGCTCTCATTTCTCTACCTGAGGTTACTTCAGAAACTTTTAACACTTTCAGCTTCAAAAGCCTGCAGGCCTTTCCCCACTTCCCTCACCCCTCACTTCTTCCCTGCCTTGTTGCCAGCTAAAAAGCCAGACAGCTGCTTCTTTCCTGGAGCTCAGCCAGTATACCCAACCGCTGCCCTAACCCAGTCCAGTTTCTGCACCAAGAGCCAGCCACGTTCTGCAGAAGCCCCCACGGGAATGAACTGTGGGGAGCAAAACCCATCGCTGCCCTGCCTTACGAGCCGAGAGCCAAGCTGACCCACTGCAAGTTTCATTGCTCTGGAGAAGTCCAACAGCTCTCAGCCGCTGTTTGCCTGTCGAGGGCAATACAAGCCCGGGCAGGCAGCACAGCTGAGCCTTCACAGCACTATGTAAATACAGAAGCAAATGAGCTCTGGCCCTCAGACTGCTGGCAAGTTACAAACATGGTCCCTGGTGCTCCCAGGTGCAAACAACGCGTGCAAAACTTCGCAGCCTTCCCAAACTAAAATTCTTGCTGAAGGCAGGGACAAATTTCCCTCTGCGAATAAGACAGAAGCAGGAGAAAAGCAGTGTGCCTGCTTTGGTAAGCGCGCACTGCACAAGGCTGGTGTACCAAAGGGGGCTAGACCCCGAGAGCCCTGATATGTGCCTGGATTCCAAAGAGAAAAAATTTCCACCCTAGGAAACCACTACCGCCTGTTGCAGACACGGCTATCAGGAGTACAGCTCATGAAGGACTAGCACCAGAGAGAAAGGGAAGAACCAATCTTACAGTCATTTTGGCATCCTGTTTGTGCCCAAGCAAGTCCAATGTAGTGGACACACACAGTTACTTTTTCGTACACCTGCAAAATCTCTTAGGAGAAATAAAAAAAAAAATAGAAGTTCAGCAGAGTAAAATATATATTCTAAAGGAGCTGGGATTTTTTTTTTCCTTGTACACAGTAGCTTAATAAAATAAAAGACCACCACTCTTATCCAACAGCCTCCTTGCAGCAACCACATGTAAACTCCGGCTTGTGAACTTAACTTCTTCTTTTTCCTATGTAACTAAAAAACAAAGTGGTTTGTGCCTGTAACAACCATTTATAACATTTTAAAAATACATTTTAATGCCTTTGGCTTTTCATCCTCATTTTGAGCAGCTTAAGTCAACTGGGAACAAGCCTTGTGGTTCTCATGTTCTCGCATTATAAGAACACAACAAATCAAGTTCTCATAGCAGCAGCGTGCCCTACTGAAAGGGGAAAGGTTGCCTTAATGTACAGGAGAAGAGAAGCATTCCATATCCATAATTAGATAAATAATACTTCAGGCAAGATATGGCACCTTTAAAAGTGCTTTTTCACTCTTGAATTTTTTCTCTGCTTGTTACTACAGAAACCATCTAGCAACCAGAATCTAAGACAGACTCCACCCAAAACAGAGAAAAACAATATAGACAGAGTAGGCTTTTCCTCCATTTTTCCCCTTCTTTTTTTTTTTTCCTCTTTCTTTTCATTCCTTTTCTTTTTTTTTTTTTAAGGGGTGGGTGAGTGCTAAAGAAATATATCTTACTGTGCAAAGGAGAGGAGCATTTTACATGCAGTTGAAACAGTAAAGCTCTGATTACAGATGGCAGAAATGAAAGCAGGGAATGAGTAATGAGCAATGAGAAATGCGTAATGCGGGATGAGGATATAATTTCCACACATCGGCTAAAGAAAGGTTTACACTCTTAAGCAATAAAAACAAACCATTAAGCCAGACCTGCACTGTCAGGAAGTATAAAACAGTTCTTGAAACTCTGCAGTTACTATACAAAAGCTTTTCATAAACTTTTGTTTCCTGATCTTCATAAAACATTAACATCAAGCTGCCATATGGCAATTAGCTGCCTCCTGAAATCAATAAAAAAAATCAACAATTTAGGAATAGCTATATAATAAAATAGTTCAATAATTATCCTCTTATAATAGTGTAGCAAAGTGTGTCTAATATAAATGCAGTCCAGATGAGCTCCATCTTCAAAGCTGAGAGTACAATAATGTTCCTCTCCAAGCCTCATCAGTACTGATTGCACCACTGCAAGACCTCTACCTGCCTAGCAGGGGAGCAAGCAGGTGATATGGCAGTCTGCGGACACCCAAACCCAACTGCCACGTGAGCAGGAAAGGTCTCGGTGCCTGATTATGACGAGCCCAGGTTAGCGCAGCAGAACGGATCCTGCTTGGTGAAAATGGCCAGTGCTCTCAGGAGAGCTTACCTCAGCTGAAGATCTTCCCGCGTCATTTTTACATGCTGCTGACCACAGAAGTCCAACTGAATTTTGCGCAAAAATTATCAAGCCACTCGACAAAGCTGTTACTGATTCTCAAAAGGACAAGGAGAGATGCTGATCACATTTGTGTTTAGAGAGATGCTTATCTGAAATGCACAAAGGGTGACATTATCTATCACAATCTCTGCCTATATAGATTATATTAAGTGCCTAGAAGCAACAAGTTTAGGGGAAACGGGCTATAGAGTAACAAAGGCAGTTTTGCGTTCTAGATCTTCTGCTTTTTCTCCTCTTAAGAGGAAAAAAAAAAGCTCACTGCTTCTTGTAGAGCACTGTAACACTAATAAGTACTAACAAACTAAAATAATTTCTAGAGTATTTTGGTAACGGCATACTTTTGGTGTTTAGGATTATTGAGCAGTCATTACCAGACTTAGAAGATATCAGAAAGGCCACATTTCTCAGGAGGGCTGTCTGATCACCAACACTATTTAGCAGAGTCCAGGAACCCAACTGAGGTGTAAGATGATTTTCTACTACCTATGTAGGAAAGCCTCTGTTTTGTTTCCTTTCTTTAAAAATCCTACTCAAACTTCAGTGCAGCACTCTCACATCTCCAATCTAGAGAGTTTAAGGGTTAGGAATTTAAAAAGATATACTTTGAATCCAATTCTGCAGAAATTTGTTGACTTGCCAAGCTTGATGCATGCATATTTCCTCCTCAAAATCAGTACGGAACTGCCGATTCTGTGACTAACACTACCCGGGCATAGCAATGCTTAGAGGAGTGGATCTTCCTATGTTTACAATTACCCGTTGGCCTCACGGTGTGTTTTACGAAGGATGCAATTCTCTGTCAAGCAACAGGAAGTTTGCCTTTACCAGGAACGCAGCATCACGTCATGAGCCAGCTCCTGCTCATGCATAGACAAGCGCCGTAGCCAATTTTTTTAAACCAAGATTACCATCAACGTGTTCTCATGCCTTAGAGGAGATGTAAAGCAGTCGCCACTCTGGAAAAAGCCTCCCTCAGTCTAGTTGCACTCCCTGGACCAGGAGCTACGAACTTAAGCCTGGCAAGCTTGGAGCTCAGGATCTGGTTAGACATGCCATGGGGTCCTCACTGATTTCAGCAGGCTTGGGATCGAGCCTTTTCTTCTCATAGAAATGGTGCAATCCCTAATTTTTCAGCACTTTACATCCAGCTTTTGAAAAAAGGGGTTATAGAGTATGATAGCGCCACTGTACCTTGACTGGCACAACCATGTAAATAACTGGCAAATAACCAATAAATTCTTGCAGCACCTTCGCTGTGGCACATCCTGCGACCTTGCCAAAGTGACAGCCGTCATCTCACCCATCACCACTAACACTGGCGTGCCCTTCCTAACAAGCAAAAGGCAAACCAAAGCTCTGCACCAAGAGACTCCTGCCCTAAAAACAACACAATAACCAACAAAACAGCACTGGTCTCTTAAAAACACAAATGAGAGGAGGCTGACCACCCAGCAAACTTGCAGGCTACTACATAGTATCAGCGTGACCAATAACACAAGAACAGAGCCAAACTGCCCAGCAGCAGATTGCTCTCTACTAGTTACTAAAAATAGTGCTGCTACAAAGAATGCATTAAGTTTTTATCTCACCACAGAAGATTACATCTTGCCCAATATATTTCTGAGCTCACGAGACAAAAATGGAAGCAGCCAACACGAAGTTAGGGTTAGTTTTTCTGTCCTCTCTGCCTATTGTGCTTTCCGATGATTAGCAGCAGAGGAAGCGAACTTTTCTGTAAGAGCACCTGTAAGACATCACCAAGTTGCCCTTCTCAGCAACAAGCCTGCCTACTAGTGCCTTTTCCGTAACCCAGAGGATTCTGGCAACCAGGAGGAGTCTGGGGAGGGTCATGACAAAGAGGAGGAGGTTTCTGTTAATAGAAGGTTATACTAGTGGGAAGCCAGAATCAGATTTCCAGTTGACTTAGAGAGGTCTCTAATGGAACACCCGTGCACGTGGCATCAGAACGTGCTGCCTCGGTTCACCAAATCCAGAAATTGATCCACTCCTCAGGACACGAAGCAACACAAGAGGGCTCTGAGGTCTCCAGAGGTGTCAGCACAGAGTCACTCCACGTTCACTACACATGGCAGACAGCTCCCGAGATAGGCAAGGACTTACCACTGGTAGTCTAACACAATTTCATTCTGCTCCTGGCTTTGGTGCACTTTGCAGCGGATCACCAAGAAGCCGTTTTAACCTACTTCCCTGCCATACTATTTCAGCGTAACCTTCATGCAACAAGCAACCCAACCTCTGCATGCTCATTCCATGTTCCTCAACCAGCGAGCTGACTGCCGTACCAGTCCTTTAACATGCAACAGGCACAACGAGTAGTAGCTTCGATGCTGAGCTCACCAACTGCAAATCACGCTTTTGCCCCTTGCACAAAGAATTTAAAAAGTAAAAGGATGTAAGCACGAGTTATCCTGGTGACGGCTGGACAAGCGAACCATGTTTTCTTACAGACTGGACTTTTCAAAAAGACATAGCAGAGTTCTGTGATTTATTATCTGAAATAGATTTAAACATTTTTGGAAAAAAATAAAAAATAAAATAAAAAAAAGCTTTCAAACACAAAACCCTGGAAAGGAAGACAAACTAATCTGCAAAACAGCAAAACCATCAGCTGAGGTTAGATAGGAGGCTGCATGACAACAACCTGCTGTATGAAGGGCAAAAATTGAAGATTAATTTCACTATTACACTCCACAGAAGTGAGCTCTCATCTGAGGTGAGGAAGTATGCAACGCTTTTTCAACTGTTAAAGACAAGGGCCAGTACAAATACGATAATCATTCCTCTTTAGCATACATAATCACAGAAAAAAAGATGACATTTTCATTTTTATTATTTTATATTTGGCCAGGACTTTTGAAGGAAGGACTTTTAAAGGAAACATCAAACATTCACTTTTCTGTAGGTCTAGAAAGGACTCAGTCTTCCCCCACCCCCACCTCCCCTAGGACTTCTATTGGCCCTTCTTATATTCACTCTGCAAATTAGTTGGGAATAGCAGTATTTATACTAGATCAGCAATGTCTGGTTCTTATCCAAATGTTCCACCTAAAGAGGATGCCAGTTCTCATGGATTGGACAGCCCACCCTGCAGCATTCCTGAGAATTGTACTATATAATAATCTTGAAAGTCAGCAGAGTGGATTATCCACTTTTTTCTGGACTTGAACTCGTGACCTTAACAGTAGCACAGCAGAAAGCAAATGTGCTATGCACTTTGCCATAGTAACCTTCCATGTATTCTTTTCAACTTAAATACACACAATTGAAACAGCTACAATTTTGGAAAATTATGTACAAACCCTATATTTTTTTCTTTTTGATTACATATAAATACAAATTAGCTATTCTTCTAAAAAGTGGTTATAATAGTAAATAAATACAAAATAAGAATCTGACCATTATACTTCATGTGCTGGGGTTAAACCCATATAAAATGTACAACTAAAATACATTTAAAATCTTTAAAGGAATATTTCTCTGATTAAAATATTTGTTTTCCCAACTTTTTCGTAGACATAAATATATTTTCAAAATAGTTGTGTTTTTTTTTTTCTTTCCATTTCATTACATAAATAAAGTCTTCATTGGGAAATATTAAAGTGTCAGCTTTTTTTTTTTTCTTTTTGTGTTTGTCTAATATATTTGCTGTGTTAGCGGCACCCACAACCCTCCACAACCATATCTTGATAGTTCTTTAATACAACTTTTTCGTTCTCATCAAGGTAGAGCATTGAAATAGCACTCAGTTCTGTCGGCACACAGCAAGCCTTGGGGATTTTGGAATTCACTGAATTGACCAAAGTCTGAACAATGGCATGGTTTGTTGAGTTTAGATGGTCTGCCAGTGGAAAAGGACATTCCCCGTGGCAGTAAAAGGCACTATACCCCGGCGGGGCAACAATCCAGTCATTCCACCCCACATCATTGAAGTCCACATATAACGGATGCCTTTTGCAACTGTATTTGTGGCGTTTACGCTGTTTGTGTTTCACTTGACGCTTTTCTCTTTTATGAAGCGGGTGTCCCTTGCCATCATGCCCAAACGTTACTAATAATGGCCTGAGCTGAGACCAGCTATCTTCATCCTGATGTAAAGACCTGCTAATCCTAACGTGCCTCTTGGAGGCACTGTTCTCTTTGTCCAAGTGAACCACCTCTACCACAAACCCATGATTAGGTTGTCCATGTGCAATCCACCTCAAAACAGCTGGCGTTACATCAAAACTTTCCCATTTACTTGCATTATGATGCACCAACCTGGTGTCCAAAAGTCTTGTGACAGGGTCCTTAGAGGTGGCTGTGGCTGGCTTTATAATTTCATAAATATTAATACGGTGATGGTAGCTGCTGTTGTTCTCAAAGGCTCCGTGCACCTGTTTCCGAAAAATCTGGAGTTCAGCTGAGGTGATAGACTCCTCATTAGGGATGGAAGTTAAATTAAAGAAGAAACGCCGTGCTGTTTTCCCACTCGTTTCTGGCAGTTCTTCCAAAACTTCTAATTTGATTAAACAGGGAGGGGGGGAAAAGAGAGAGAAAAAAAAATCAGGAACTGAGACAAGCAACCAAACCCCTCAGTTAGTCTGCTGCTGGCAGCTTTCAAATGACAGTTCACACACGTGACAAACAAGATCTGAAAGACTCGCAGGCAGAACATACCCTCTCCCTTGTCTTTCTGTTTATTTATGCAAGCATGTATAGCATGAAGTTAAGAACGCTTCATTCATTGTTATGCGCTTTGATTGAATGCTGGTGCCCTTTGCATTCCAGGTAGTTATAATGAGTGGCAAGGAACATGAAGCACTACGCTGGAATTCAAGGACATCAGTGAGAAAACTCAAGCACTGTAGTTAGTGGAGGCCTGATGAGAATCATTAAAACTGATTGAGGATTTAGGGTAATTATCTCATTTCGGCATTTTTCGAGAATACAGCTCTAACGTCAATCCCTTAAACTCCATTCTCAACACTGGAACTCCCCAATTTAGGTAACTTATTTAATCTCGATGTAGGGATTTTTGTGTCTTAATTAGAGACAGCAAACTCAACATCTGTAAAGGCGCTTCTCGAAGCACACCCTAGTGTTTGCTCGAAAGGACTGTAAAGAATGGCAGGAGGGTTCAACTGCTAAAGGGGATGGACGGTGAAGGGATGACAAAACAACAGGTTTTCAAAAACAAAACAAAACGCTAAACCCCGTGCCATTCTCCCCTTTCAGCCAACAAACTCTTGAATGGGACTTCAGGGGGAGTACAATGTATCTAGGGCTGCTATGAGCTATGTTGTTGCTAAAGGGACCAAAATGATGGCAAGTGTTTGCCCAGGGAATTCCCTCTAAAATTGTGATTTTTAATTCTGGTGCTAAGCATCCCAGAGAAAGATTCACTTTCTGAATGGCTGCAGGAACTGGTGCAAGCAGCTCTTAGTCCCATAACCATTCCCTGCTGGTTCCAGCAGGACTTCCAGTACAAGGTCAGGCTCGGCTTTATGGCATTTCAGGACCAGACCAGTACTTATGAATAAGGCAGAAGCTTTGAGTGGTCACAAACCAAACTCCTGCTTTAGTAAGTCATGAACTGCGAGGGAGAACTCAATGAAAAATTGGAGTGACACTGATTTTTTCTACATTTTGTGAAAATTGGAGAATAGCTTTTATGTCAAAAAGAGTCTGTCGCAACACTGCTACTTCAAACATTCTTGCATCTGCCTCCAAACCGTAAAGGTTGCCCTCGCAGCTCCTCTCTCGCTTAGTGCCATGCCTGCTGTGCTCAGGTTTAAAAGGAACGAGCCACGCGCTGGCTTTTCCCCCTTTACTGCTGAGTGTTTACTTTCCACGTAGGGAAGCAGGCTACAGCGAGAGGTTACGTTTCACCATTCACCTCCTTTCCCACCATGGTGCTTTCCACTAACCACCGCCTCCACTTCTCCGAGGCCACCTCTCCTTTTCCCATCGGACCCATTACATCCTAGCAAACTTCTTTTTTTTTCGCCCCGGTTTCGCGCTCGGGAGCGTGGGGAAATCACATTTTCATGACTTTTCCAGCGAGCCCGCTGCGTGCCAGCACCAGAGACTAACAGCCAGGAAAGATTACAACCTGGGGAAACGTTTCCCAACGAGCACGCGAGCGACGCGCGCCACCGGCTCCGTGGGCCCGGGCGAGGAGCTGCTCGACGGGAGCTGCTCTGGGGGAAAGGCGCCCACCAGGGCTGGGGCAGGGGGCCCCGAGGTGCTGCCAGGGCCGGGTGCCCAGCTCGGGGGCTGGCTGGGCACCCGCTGCTTAGGGCCGAGGGGCCTCCGGCAGCGGGCGGCGATGGGCTGGGTGGCGTGGGGCCGGGGCTCGACGGCTCCTCGCAGGGATCGGCCGAGGGTTTCGCTCGCCTCCCACGGGGATTAGGCGGGGATTAGCAAACTCGGGCAGGCTTCGAATTGGAAGCGAAAGCTGCGGGAGCCGCCGCGCCGGGGCTGACAGCACCCAGCCGAGACGCAAAGCGCCGGGACCCCCCCGGCGGGGCTCCGCGGCCCCCCCCCGGCCCTCCCCGCCCCGAGCACCCCCCGGCCGCCCCTACCTTCGTGGTGGAAGCTGCGCACGGTGTTGGCGCGGCTGGCGGCCCTCTCCAGCGGGTAGCCCAGCGCCGGCGCTTGCCCCAGCCGCTGGCCAGCGTGCAGGCGGTAGAGGTCCAGCATGTAGGGCGGGATGACGACGTCCTTGCCGGGGCTGGGCCGCCGCTTCAGCCCGAACATGTGGAGCAGGCGCAGCTCGAACTCGCCCAGGAGCTCCTCGGGGCGCTGCGCGGCCGGGGCGGCGCGGCCGGGCTCGCCGAGACGCCGCCGGCCCCCGGGAGGCATGAGGCCGGCCGCGCCGCCCAGCAGCACCCGGCAGAGCAGCAGCGCCAGGAGGGAGCGGGTCGCGGCACCCATCGTGGACCTGCGCGGGGGAGGAGGAGGAGGAGGCGATGGGAGGCAGTCAGCGCGGGCAGGGGGGGGAAGGAGGGGTGGGAAAAAGGGGGGGGCACGGCCCGCAAGGGGGTCCCACCCCGGCTGGGGGAGCCCCGTCGGGGCGGGAGGGTCCCGGGTCCCCCGCGGCGGGGGACGGAAGGGGCCAGGAGGGGCCGGGGCGCCCCGCAGCACACACGGGGGCAGGGGGCCGGGGCCGGGGCGGCCGCTGTCAGCCCGGCCGGGGGCACCGAGGGGCCGGGCCGCTGCCCTCGGGGCGGCACAGGTGGGAGCCCTGCACGGAGCCACCTCCCCGCCGCGCTGCCGGCTGGGCACGGCTCGGCTCGGCTCCCCGGGCTGCCCGCTCCGCTCGGCTCGGCTCGGCTCCGGGGCCGGCTCCGCACCCCCCCGGGCCGGAGAGAAAGGCAGGGTTATTTTTTCTCTCGGCGGAGCGCGAGGAGGGGAAGGAGGAGAATACAAATCCTGCTAGGTCCTCAGCCAAAGCCGCAGGACGTTCTTCTCCCCCGGGAGACTCGGCGCCGGGTTACTGCTCCCGGCATGGGGAGCGTTAGCGGCCCGGCCCCCCTCTCTCTTGCAGAGCGCCGGCACCTCCGCCGTGGCCCTCGGAGTCATCCTGCGGGAAGGCTGGCAGCGGCTCGGCGACCGCCAGAGCTATACCTGTGTGCAGCAGCAGGGGTTGTGTCTGCAGGAGGGTTTTCTGCTCTCGGGGTGTTTTTCCCGCATCACTTGGTGTTACTCCGAACTTCGCTGCTGCTCCTCTACAGCTGCCGAGCAGAAACCAGAAGTTCCCTGAAGTGCAGTCCGCCCCAGAAACATACTTTTAGCAGCCGGTTTGGGAGGCAGGAGGCAAGTCCCGGCCAGGGAAGGGCTTCTCCCTTTTAAAAGCAGCGATCGAAAAGTTGGTGCTTCTTCTTCTTCCTCCTCCTCCTCCTCGCGTGTGTGTGCGTGTGCCTGCCCGTGAATGGGTGCCTATGTGTCTACGGAGTTCAAAGGCTCCTTGTGAGAAATGTCCTCTGCATCACCCGCACCGCACAGATGGACATTTACCGGCACTCCCGCAGCACCATTGAGCCGAAGCTTCACTTTTCTCCGCTCCCTTAAAAAAGAAAGAAGGAGGGGGGGTGGGTGGGGGGGTGGAGGGAAGGGGGAGGGAAGATGAGGGAAGGAAAAAAAAAAAAAAAAAAAAAAAAAGGGTGGGGAGAGCAGCCCGCAGCGGCTGCGCTAGGGGACAGCGGCGGGTGCGCGGCCGCCTCCCGCCCCGCGCCGCACCATGGACGGGGCCGGCCGGGGCCGCGGGGCTTTTTGTGGCGGCGGTGTCACGACCCCGGCGGCTCGGGGCCGGCGCCAATCACAGGCGCCCTGTGGGAGCGGGCTGCGGCCCCGCACGGCTTTTAAGGGAGGCGCCGCCTCCCGGCCTCGCTCCTGCCCTCCCCGCCTCCGCCCGCTTCCCTCCCCAGCCCGCCTGAGCCGTGCCGAGCCGGCCCGGGTCGCGGGACGGGGCTGGGGCAGGTCCCGATCCCGGTCCCGTTAGGACGCGGCCCGGCCCCGCCGTGCGCCCCCAGCCCCGGGGCGAGCCCGGGCTCCGCCGCCGCCCAGGGGCCGGGTGCGGGGCGCGCAGGGCAGCGGCAGCGCCCCCGGCCCCGGCCCCGCAGCGCCCCTCACAGCCGCATCCCGCGGCAGCCCCGACCCCGGGGCCGGCTCCCCACTTGGCCGTGCCCGGGGCTTTCCCCGCTCTCCCCCCCCGGAGAGAGGCGTCGAGGCCGGCCGGGGAGCCGGGCTCCGCTCCGCTCCTCTCCTCCCCGCTGCGCTCCGCTCCTCCCGGCCGCCTGCCCCGGCTGCGGGTCCGGCCCCTGGCGGCCCGCGGGTTTTTTGGCTGTGGCTGCCCTCCAGTGGCGGAAAGGAGGCGGCTCCTCCGCCGCTCGCCTCCCCTCCGCCCCGCGGCACCTGCCCCCAGACCCCCGGCTCGCAGCCCCCCAAGGCTCTCTCCGCCCAAGCCCTGCTGCCTGCTCCCCCTGTGCCCGCCCGCCCCGCGGTGCCCGCATCCTTTGCTGTGTGCGTGGCCCAAGGCGATGCCCTGCGATGTGGGGAGGGGAGCGCTCCTGTGCTGCCCCGCAGCTCTCAGGGGCTTCGTTTGAAAAAGCCCCGGCCAGCCCGTGCCACCTGGACATGGAGCAGTAACCACCCGGCCGGCTCCATCGCCAGCTCCTCCTCTGGGAGCAGCCTTCTCCCTCCATCTCAGGGCTTCTCCACACGGGAGAACCGCCGCTTTGAGGCAGGAGCCTTTGGGCTGGGGCCTCTCGGCCTTCCTCTCACCCTAGGCCGCCCTCAGCTCCACCAGCAGAAGCTCGCTGTGGGGACACCGCAGTGCGATGTGACCCCAAGGGCTGCTGAGGCTGTCCCGTGCCCGCTGCTCCCCGGGGACGGCCGCGGCAGGAGCGGTGCCACAGGGAGCTGAAGGCCCTCCGCGCCCCGGCAGCCTGTCCGCTGCGTCCCAGGGCAGATAATGTTTAATTTTATGACTTCCTGCAAGTCTTTAGCATGAACTGAAGGTGCGTGCGGTGTGACTTCAGGGTATGCCAATTATGTAAATCAGCACTAAAATAACAATGGCAACGTAGTTTACACATCACTGACATTAAATGAGCGCTTCAACTTCTAATTGCCATTCCAGTTCAATCTGCAGTGGGTCATGCCAGGAAATAGTCATTTCTTGCCTCAACACTTACTGCCTGTGCCTGGAGCATAGGCTGTGCTGTGTGCCCGGCGAGGCTTTATCTCCGGGAGCTTTCTGTGTCAGGACGGTGAGCCCTGGGAGGGAGAAGTGTGCTTGTGGTTGCTCTGAAGGCCTGGATCTGCTATCGAGAGCTTCTTGTAGGTTTGCCCCTCTCTGCTTTTAAATACAAGTTGGCTCTCACTGTCATCTGTTGTCTTGGCCGTGAGAGACATTGCCCCTACTAGTTTTTCATCCCTTGGTCTATTCAGTGAACCAGTTTCCCTGTTTGTTTCCACGAGGCCCCAGAAGACAACAGTGCAGCACTTGTGACGTGGCTCCCGGCCCCTGCACGAGAACCTCCTACATCTCAAGCGCCACCATGGCTGAGGCCACAAGTGAAGGAGGACCTTTGGCAGACAACATCACACACAGGTGTATTCAGAATCGCTCTGTGCGGTGCAAACACACCGGGACGTGCCCACCCAGACTCAGCTCCCCAAAGGAGCAGTGCAGCAGATGTAACACCCTTGTCGCCTTCCCACCACATGGTTGTGGGGAACCAGAGAGAACAAAACCAAAGCTAACCTGGCCGTAATTCCTGGTGCTGCAATTCTGCACAGGCTCCGCCAAACCGAGGAGGGAAGCAGTGCCTCAGCTCGAGTCAGCCCCAACACAGCGTCATTTCATCCTGCAGATCGAGCCTGCTGAATTCCTGGTGGAGAAACCCATGCTCACGCTGAAGAGATCCGGTACAGATGTGGGGTTTTAGGAAACCTGACCATGCATATTTGTTAATCTCCTTTGTGAAACTTCATTTCCCTGCTCCTGAACTTTGTATAGTTGAGTGGACTGATTAATTTCTTCTTTCTTTCCTGTCTCTGCGCCCTACTTTTCCTTCTTTCTTGGTTTAGTGGTTTTTTGGTTTGGGGTTGGTTTTTTTTTTTGAGCCAGTGAGTATTCAATGAGCAACACCTGCTTCTAAGGTTTCAGATCCAGGTGCTCCTTGCAGGCGTCCAAACACAGCTGATAGATCTCGACTTTAAGTATTGTTAGGTTTTCTTAGTGAAATGATGGAAAAGTACCCATTCAAGGATAGGTTTTGCAACACCCTGAGTGCCCTTTATCAAGCCCTGAAGGACAAGAAGAAAGTGTTTTTTTTCCCACAGCATTTTCTTCTCAAAAATATTATACCAAATGACATTTATATATTGCCACCAGGTAGTGTCTCTTTCCTGGCCTGGTTAAACTGTGCCCACCCATGGCACAAGAATTCGGAAATCTTGGGGGCAGGAGACTTCAGCTGGAGGACCTAGGTTAGAAATGCTCACTGGGGTTTCTGGCCGTTACTGACAATCCTTACCAAAAGAACCCCACAATTTCTGGTCTAGTTAGTGTTGTGGGTCTGTAGAAACAAGCCCGCTGCTCTATGCCTGTCAATAGCCAACAGTTTTACCGCTGACTTCAGCAGACCAGTTAGACCAATGCTGAGAACTTTTAAAATTCCCACTTTAGACTACTTTCCCCCAGGTATGATGAACTTTTGACATGATACATTAATAGCAGAGAGCTTTTTAGTATATATTTTGTACGCTTTCGTGACTAAACCTGCCTCTTATGAAAAATCTGTGCTGAAGCATAGAAAATATACGTGATACAGCATCAAATGCACTTCTGAAAATGAGTTAAGATGTGTTAGTGATGTTGAGGTTTTGGCTTCATAAAGGGTGGAGATTATCTGAAAGCTTTTCTGTTTCTGGACTCTGCTTCCTGCTGGCATCTGTGTGAATATGATGTGTGGTCATTCTTTAAAATACTACTTAATGCTGTTTTCTGAAGATGTATTTGACTTTTGGTGGTTTGTCTTTTAACATCCATCAGTTGTCTCTGCTACGCAGTCTGTCTCCTGTTCCATTAAGGATGGATTCTCACTCAAAAAGGTTATTTATAAGACAGTCATTTGTTTCTGAAGAGGGGAAAGGCAGTTTATTCAGAAATGTCTATTTCATTCTTATTCACCTTTGCTGAAATCTGGCAGCTCTTCAAAGCTGTTGCTGTGTTTCACAGTGAGTCTCAATTTCATTCATCAAATCTTGGCTCTCCTTCCGTCATAGCAGCAAGAAAATTGGGATTTATCAGGAAATACAACCCAGACCCAGTATTTTCTACACTTCCAGGACGTCTCCCTTGCTAATGAGTGATAACAGTTGTAACGCTGTTACATCCGCAAATGCAGGCTGCAGCAATCAGTTCACATGGCTGCACAACTGTCATATCCTACGACAAATTCCTACCAGTTGTAACTCCTACAATTGCTGGGGAACAAGGAAAAAGGGAGACTAACACAATAACATTTTGATGTGTTAAGCATCAAGAAGTGAAAAAATGCTCAAGCACCTCTGAAAGCCTGGAGAACAACCAAGATGTCACCTGACAGATTTCTAGGCATCACATCATTTATATATTTCTAATTACGTGCAGCATGAATAGCCAGAGACTGTCAGACTAGGAAGATGTGGTAGGCAGTGAACCGACTACAATTCGGGAGACCTCAGGTCTCTCCTCGGCACTACGTGTCCTTTTCCTTCCCCCCATGCCTCAGTTTTCCCACCTTGGAAGCGGGGATGGTGATGCTGACCCCCACTTGCAGGTCGCTGCAAGACCTATTAGGAAAAGTGCTAAGACCTGGGCTTTGCTATTGTTTGGGGCTCAACAGTGGGTTAATGCCAGTAGTAATCTCAAATATCTGGAATCCCAGGGCTCAATCTCACCCTCAAGTCAGTGGCAAAATTCCTGTTGGTTTTGGTGGTACAGGCTCACACGTTTAAGTAGCAAAGCGACCAGGATGCTGACTATTCCAGTCCGAAGACTCAGAGCAAAGAGAGATTTTTTTAATTATATAAGTCTTGGTAGGAAGAAAACGAGGTGAGGGCGTTCCCCCACATAAAAGAGAAACAGCTGTGTCATAGATGGTCCACTTCAGGAGCTTATAATTTCATGACTGCACAGATATTGACGTCAAGTAAAATGGAGGATAATATAAAGCTACGCATGTCGCCTTAAGAAGTGCATATTTCAGCAGTGAAACTGGATCATGTTTTGCAATTAAAATAAAATAAAGGCAAGCGTGACGTTCTGTTTAAGCAGATTGTCTGTATGAAGGCTTTATTGTAGCTGCAGATTTAGGGCATATGAAAAGGTTTTCTGTGCTCAGTTGCAGGATGAAAAACATTGCATCATCAGGCATTCTTGTTCTCTAACACTTCTTTGCCAGTGTGCCTTTGATAATGAATGGTTGCAATTTTATTTTCTGGTCTAAAGTCATGTTTTCTCAGGTCATTATCATTCCAATTTTTAAATATCCTCTTAGAACTAGACAGGACTACGGAAAGTAATAGTAAAGCTTTGTGCCTGCTCTGCGGCATGTGCTCAGCACAAGTGATCAGCTGCTGCACCTGCTTCACACTGGGAGCAAAGCTATTTGCTTTCAATTATGTCCCTTGTTCCCAGCTCTGCCCAGTTTTCAGAGAAGCTCTGATGGCAACAGGCCTCAGTTCTAGCAGCACCCTGTGACTTGTGTTTGGTTGGTTTGTGCGTTACAAACCTTACTGAAGGGGTTTCTTGGGAGAACAACATCCTTTCACCCTTCCCAGGCCCTCGTCTGCTCTGGTGCTGCACAGCTCCCTCTGCGGCGGTCCTGCGAGAATGCTCGAAACTGCAGGAACTGATTAGTGGCACATGTTGCATTGTGTCGTGTTCATCCCCGGAACATCTGCAGCCTGGACATCACAGTACTTCTCCTCCCCATTCTTCTCCAAGAGGAGGAAGAACTGCTACCCCATTTTACAGAAGGGGAAAAGCAGCAGAGAGCAGCGAAAGACTGTTTTTTTAAGAGGTATACAGAAGCCCGAAGACCTATATAGGTCACAACGAGATTTTCAAGGATGCATAATCAGGTTAGAGACACAAATTCCCAAAACTTCAGAAAGACGTCAGTAGCTGGCTCATGTAGACATTTTTGAAAATCCCAATCCCAAATCCATTATCCAATAGTTGCCCGAAAAATTCTTGCCATGCTTTGTCCACAGTTCTTCTGAAACCCGTAAATCCTAGCAGGAACAAAACCGCCTCATTCAGCTACGGAGAAAATCTTTGACGTGGCAGGAGACTATCTGTGCTGGGGATAGAGGGGTTTTTACAACCTCGGCCAGGACAACAAATGTATTGGTCATCATTTTGACACACAGGTTTGTTCCCAAGCCGGATCAGTCGCTGCAGCAGAGGTGCACGTAGCAGTGAACTCCCTTGCATGCTGTGCCGTCACCTCCTCCCTTTTGTCCTCCCTTTTGTTTTTCTCACCGCTGAAGGACGGAGCGCTGGGTGGGAGCTGTACAGCCAGTCTGCTTGGCGCTTTGGGGAAGCTTGGACCGACCTTTATGTTCCCTAACACCTTCCACGACCTTCCCTCAGACTCCTGCTCTTCCTGCCGTCTCCTGCGCTTCCATCTTTCCACTGCCACCAGTTCCTCCGCCACAGCTGCCTCCACCTGACACACGGGTCCTGGGAGCACCGGCTCTGGCTCCCCTCCTGCTCCCACGACCCACAGCGGTGCAGCCCCCCGGTCCCCTCCCTGCCACCTGCCCCAGCACACCCCAAGGCTGTGCCGTGCTCCTGTCACCCCCTGCTAAGATGTCCCTCAGTGGGAGCAGCTTCAGACCCCACAGTGCCCTCGCCCTGCACAAGAACTGCTTCCCTAGCAGGCTCACATAGCCTTGGCACCGTGTTCCTGTGGGTTTCCCTGCCTTACCTTTTCTGTTTTCTCTGTAGCTTTCACCCGAATGCAGTCCATAAACATTCACATCCACTCACCTAGGTATACTAAACACTGCATGCGTGCCTTCAGTCAGCCATGGAATAAACTCCTTTCACAGAAATCCAAATACCAAACAAACAAACAAGCCATGGGGAACCATGGAAAAACTTCACTTATTTCGCACCTCTACCCTTCTCACCTGCTCTCTGTGCACACCCCACACCCCTGCGTGCAGCCCCACCAGCCACTGGGTGTGAAAAAGGGAAAGGAACCATCCCCAAATTTCTCCTGCCCCTCTTTGTCCCCCACAAAAGGCAGCCAGCACGCGAGTCAGGGAAGAAGCACAATCGCTGTGAGCCCCAAATTGCTACCTCAATCCACTTCAACCAGACTGAATGCATTCAATAAGCACTGGTTCAGATGCTCACGCAGCCTGGGAAGAACCCCGAGGACCTAGAAATGAATGTTATGAATAAATCCTTCAAAACTTAGGGCCACTCTCTCCATACCAATGGAAAGCTGAAATTCCAAGTTGCGCAACTGAATGTGACATTCATTTCTGCAGCTGCTGGGAAAATAGTTTCCTTGCAAGATAAATTTAATAAACAGTAGAGTGTTTTGTATCTATTTTTTCCCTAAGCAACTTCTGAAATGTCGGATGTTAATATTAAGGAACTTTGACAGATTAAAAAAAATGCATCCCTGTAATAATATGTAAATAATATTTTTTCCTTCCCTCCATTCATTTACAGTATTGGACAGGTTCTGACACAGCAAGCTGGATCTACTGAGGCCAACATTGCTAAAAAGCAACTTTCTCAAAACTCTCCAAATGAAAATATACAGAGATTAAATAAAATAGAGGTTTTATATTTAGCCAAAGTGATTTCACAGCTAACCCTGAGTGAATGCCATTTGCAGTACACTGCCATGTGTGTCCAGGCAGCCGGACGCATATTTTATGTTTTCTTTCATTAGAAATAATGAATTCTAATTTCATTAGAAATAAAAATTCCTCTACACTGGATCACGATCAGGCTTCTACCTGAAATGTGTCTCCTGCATTTAACAAGCCCTGTAGGCTACTGCCCAAAGTAGCACACGGGCCCTCTGCTGCTGTGCTCTGCATCGATTTCCCTTGCTGTGCACCTCGGCCACGTTGTGGTCGGCCTCTGTGAAGCTGCAACAATGCAGGTGCAGGAAGGTGTCTGAGTTACGCGTTCTGCAGGTAAGTTCTGCATCCTAAGGACCCCAAAGAGGTGCTGCTGCTATATCGGCAGCCCCAACACGCCAGGTATCAGCTGCTGCAGCAGACAGCTTTAAGGTCTAACTCCATCTCTTTGGCTTTTGATTTGTTCTATGGCTTTCTGAAAGCACCATGAGAGGAGATGCCTGAGCTGCCCCAAAGGAATCATTTATAACCAACGTCTCCAAGCAGAGCAGCAGAAGGAATATCCCCCATGTGTTCAGAGAAGGTTTTCTTCAGCGTCCCTCAAGAGTAGTGTAATTGCTGCTGGCAATGCCTACATTTGCCCTGCTACTGACAAAGGCATTTTTAATACTGCTACCTTGATATAAATGATGGAATAAAACCAGGAAAGGCACACTTACCCAGCTAAATGATGGCTTTGCTCTTTTCTGCACAGCTTTTCTCTTGTTGTAACATTTCACACCCTAGGAGTAGAAAACACCCCAATGTCATATCCCAGGCAGGAAACAAAACCCTAAGCAGACGGTTGGGAATTGACTCTAATCTCACCCGTAATGGGCCAGTGGCAAGGGCATTTGGAAGTCAGCACCTGCAGCACAGAGGGCTTCAGACACCACACTTGGCTTGCAAAGACAATGTGAGACGAGTATTTTGGGCCAGAAAGGTGGATTTGGGGGTCAGAGCATCTATAGTCTAGCCCCAGGTTAGTGGAGCCACAGCTTTTGTGTGTAAGGCACTGCTCACACCTGCACTAAGGGAATTCAGTAGAAACCCCAGTCTGGCAGCATCCAAGTGGCATCGTATCGCTGTCTGCATGACAGCTCAAAGACTTGCCAAAAAAAGTACTGCCTTCGTGTCCCTTCTCTTCCAACGGGGAATCACTCCATGCTCCTCCTGGCCCTGCTGCACTGCCAGGGAAGGAAAATCCTCTTCTTTCAAAGCCCAGGGCAAGCTTCCACGGGAGCAAGCTAGACCCACAGCCCTGTTTATATCTCTTCCTCTAAGGCTACGTCTCTACTAGTAAATTAAGTGTGCCTGGGAACATTCCTGGGCACGGAGGCCAACTGGCATGGAAAAGCCTGCTTCGCTGCTGGCTGCTTTCAAACTGCTGCGTGGGGATGGGCCCGAGACTGCCAGAACCAACCATGCCTGGAGACCCTTTGGGACAGAGCTTCTTGGCCTTGCTCAAAAGCATACCAGAGCTGTCCTGACAGCACTACCAGGCAATTCCCTGGGCCTAGAAGTGTTCCCAGGTGATGCTTTATTTATAAATAAAGCACAGATGTAGCCCAAGGCTGTGCCTCATTCCCCCTGCTCAGGCATCACCTGGAGGATGCAGAACAGGGATTCACCCTATCAGCCACTGGCCAGCTGGTGGTGATTTCATACAGCAGGTCCTGAGGATGCCTGCCCCACATGGCTGTTCCCACAGAGGGGCTGAAGGACATTTCAGATAGCTACAGTGCTGCGAGCTGTGCACGGGCTTGCTGAAACCCATGGAGCTCTGCATGGGCACCCTAATAGCATGTACCCAGTGTAGTTTTGCGTCGTATTTGGTCCACAAACCTGATGCCAAGAGTGCAGCCCCAACAATTCAGGTGCCCCAAGCATGGGCTGCCACCATCCCTCCATTGATTGCCCCAGCCCCAGCTCCCCGCTCCATCTCCTCTGCCAGAAGCAGAGCTCCTGCAGCAAACAGCTTGAAGAGCTTGAAGAGCTCTGCCTGAGAAGTCACGCACTGTGCTTCGGGTAGTGGAGTCCTGGTTTGGGTGGGAATTTCCACATTACATGTAAGTTCTTTCCATTATATTTAAATTACATGTAAATTCTTCTAATAATCAAACCTCGTTAAATCTCAGTTAAAATCTTTAACTTGTAAACCGGGATTCCAGAATCTGTAGGAGCTGCACTCCCTTCCCTGCCATCGCTGAAGGTACAGTAGCTAACATTTCAGCTAACGTTGTTTTGTTCAAAATCAAATGAGGTTCATATTAAGCCCACAAAAGGAAATCATGATTGATGATCTGGCCTGCCCAACTACAATTCCTTTAGTAACAAAAATATTTTGTAAGTTCATTTATTATTGAGATCAAGCAATGAGTCTGGAGCTACAGAAAATGGTTCCAATTAGATTCAAGTAATTGCCATTTTGAGTGAACATGAGCTTTTTTGGATAAAAAAAAAAAAAAAAAGCCAATAAAAGCTCAAGTAAGCTCACATCTGAGATCTAAGCCTTCAAAGCTTTTTTTCCTCCCTCCTTTTTTTTTTTTTTTAAAGTGAGAGAGACATGCCCAGGGAGGATGGGGGGGAGGAGGCGTACGGGTGCATGGAGAAAAGAGGAGTGATTTTCCCAAGCTGATTTTTCTTACCGAGTGACCCAGGCTCCCTGGGAATGCTGCCCATGTGATCTGCACCGACGGGGCAGCGGCAGCGCAAGCACAAGGAGCGTCCGCAGCACCATGAAAATAAGCAGCCAACGGGGGAAAGCCTGTAAAGCACAGATTTCCTAATCTCACTGCAGTGCTCCTGCAGCCGAGGGAGAAGTGTCTTCTCCTGCAGCAGCCTTCAGAGCAAGCGCTGCAGCACGTGAAGGATGCAAGCAGTTTCGGTGCGGTGCCAGCAGTCACCGCAGAGCACAGGACGTAGGAACCTCACTAGGAGCTGTGTCCCAGGCCCCTGCACACCTTTCCTGTGCTTTTATATTTGTCTAACTTCAATCGAGAACTGCCTGGGACAAGTCCTGCTGCTGGAGAAGGTCAGCCTGCCACCAGGGGCTCAGCAGAGGTGGCGTTCTGCTTTCATGGCATGAAGAGCAGTGCCACAGACACATGGGCTCCTCCAAAACAGGTTTCTTACCGGATCTCACATAAATCATAACACCCAGAGCCATCACTACCGCATCCCTGCACAGTACTGCCTGCTGGCAGGCAATGGTTTCAGAGACCCTATAACCCACCCCCAGAGGAGACCCTAAGCATGGAGATTTGGGTGGTACAGAAACTATATGGAGCTGGATCGCTGCAAGGGATCACGGCAAGGGAAGATGCAGGGTGCCCTCCTACACTGATCAAAATGTGTAGTTACTAGTAAGAGAAAATACAGACACGACTAAAAGAAATCCACTCCCATGCCCGTGCCAAAAAGCCCCTTATCCCCGGCAGCCCTCCCAGCACGATGGCGTGCCCAGTAGATAAGTCACAAATAACACAGTCCTTCCGCACCCCGCTACCCAGAGAAGCACTGATCAGAATTGCTTGAAGCACAGCTTGAAACAATTTTCCAACCTGCGCTGGGGGGGCTGAAGTCACCACCCTCCTTCTGCGCAGTGAGGAACTTCTTCCACCCATGGACACGTGGATGCAAAAGCAAAGAGGATGGGGTAAGACAACATTTCCATGCTCCACGGGCAGCAGCCACGCACACACAGCTCATACAGGCGTTTCATTGAGCACGGTGTCAGCGCCCACTATATTACCTGTCTCTCACCACAAACATTTGCCTTCTGCAGGGTACTTCCCATGAAGACCATGAGTGGTCAAGGAGTTATGAGCGAGGGAGGGAAGGTGGATTGTTTCTGATTTCAATACGTTCATTTCTTCCTTTTATTGCCCAGATGTCATCATCAGATGCTCAATTTCCTGTGTCCACCTGAAGGTCTACAAAAGTTCTCCACCGCCTCTATAGATGATTTAATCTCTGGAGTCCAATTTGCTAATAATTACATTCAGATCATAAATACAGATTTAGATTTTTGTACAGCAGCACAGAGCTTCTTTCGTGTCCGACTGCACATCAATATAACACAGAACACTTTCTGCTTCAGCACAACTTTGGTTCACAGCTTCTTAGTGCTCCTGGTGGAAGTCCTGGAGAGAAATCTGAAGTCAGCCTGGAGACCTATGCGGCTCAGCTCAAACTGTGTCGACTCACAGAAGCTGAAGACCTAGCTCCTCTGAGAAGTGTTCTTACAACACCTCAGCATTTCTGGGGCCAGTTCCTCATCAAACCTGCCAAGAAAACTCGGACTCTTTTCTTTAGAGACAGCCTCCCGTGATTCTCACTTGATATCTTCAGGTTTTGTTCTAAGCTCGTAAATATTTTTCCTTAAAAGTGGTTCAAGAATGGAAGTTTTAACATACGGGACATGTCAATATTTGGTTTCATTAAGAAACTATGGCCTCCTTGTTCTTGTTCTACAAGATTTCCTTCCCCCCAGAGCAGTTACCCCATGAATGCAGAGAAGTTCCCCTCTGTAGTATCAAGGCAGGGAAGCGCAGCCACCCAAAGCACTGCTCTGGACGCTTCCAGGCATGGCCCCATCTCCTTCAGATGCTCCCCGACACCATGGGGATGCATTCAGGAGCGGCATCACACCAGCTCCTGCCCGCCAGAAACTCGGTGCTGTGTGTGTTTCACTCCAGGCTGGACCACGGCTTGCTCCCCAGAGCCTTCGGGTGGCTGAGCCCCACGGAGGATTTCACCAGGACCAACGCAAGCGAAATCAGTCAGCTGCAAGGTCCCTGCAGGAGCTGACGGTGATGTCTGTCTAACTAAAATGAAGTATCAATATCCTAGCTCACACTCGATGAAAGAGCCATTCTGAATTATTTACTGTATGTCATACTTCAGGTTTTCATTTCAATATATTGTGAGATGTACGATAAATTATTTATAAGCGTGGCAAATTAAAATGCAGTTTCAAATCCACCTGTAGTTTTTCCGCTTGGGTTCACAGTCCAGTTTGCAACAATCGGGTGCTAATCTATTTTTGCTAATGGTTCTTCAGCTAGAGAGACATAGAGGCATACAAATTTTCCATTGAAGTCAATCTTATCCAGCTTGAATCATTTAACAGCCCGTCCTCCTTGAGATATCCTAGTGAAATACAGCTTGGGCAAAAGGGGCAAAGGTACCTGCAGCAGGTGAGCCCGCAGCTGTTTCCCAGCTTTACCCAGGAGCACACAGTGCTGTGGGGGCTCTTCCTCGCTCCTCGAAATGTCTGCGTGTCTCTGTCAAACAGGCACTTCAAGAGCGGTATTTTATTTTCTAATTCTTTCTCTTCCCTTTCTCACAGGTGGTTTTGTAGGAAGATCTTGGAAACACGCTTTGTTTTAACATGTCCAGGCATACGTTTCTTTGTGTAGGGGTGGCAGTGAAGAGTTTTGTCTTCTACTCTGAGATGTCACATATTCAATAAAGGAGTTGTTGCTTTGTCTTCTAACTCATTTTTAGACCAGCCTTGCAAAGCTCTTTGTATCTACTTGTCAAGATATTTTTCATCCTCTTTATGGCAAATAGAATAAGGAAACGGATTTTAATATTCCTCCTATGGACCTCCACAGAGACGTGTCTTCAGACAAGAGCCCAGGTGGCAGTGATTTGAGCTCTCTTCATTAGTGGGCAACACCTCTGCAAAACTGCAATCTTCTGAGCAACACAACACACAACACTGAGCCTTGAAGAATGATAAGTTTAAGATCCAATATTTCCTGACTCGCCAGAGCTCACAATGGAAAGCTTTGTACTGGTTGAGGGGAGAAATTCCAAGTTTCTGTCCATGAAAGATCCTAAGTTCTTTAAAAATCATGACATGTTTATGCAGAGTAAAACAATTTTAGGCCCATTTAGGACATTCTGTCCCTCCGAAATCCACACTGCTGAATCTGTCCAGATGATAGGAAAACTTTTGTTGCAATAAGAACATGTTACAATACCTACTATATTTAAAATCTTCAAAGCATCTGACACATACCTCTATACAATGGTCTTGTTTAGTACCTTGTTAGCAGTTTTGTTTAAAACAGAGCTGTGGTTTATATTTTCCCAAATCACAGGACTCCCCCAGAGGTATGATGATGAGAACTGCTCCCAGCTGGGAGTCTCGCTATGGAAAGAAAGTGCCATCAGACACGGGGGCTCACAGAGCCTCGAGAAGTTTCCCACACAACATCCTGCGTTTGATTTGCTTTTGCCCTACCAAAGGCAGAGCAGAAATGTAGAAAGAGCCCTGCCCACAGTGCTGGCGTACTTGGGAGCAGCAGCCGATGGGGCCCTGAAGCAGGCATCCCCTGCCTTGTGCCCCAGCACGGGTAGGGCAGGACAGAGCAGGAGCTCCCTGCAGCCCCACTGTGCTGGGATCCCATCGCCCAGCCCACAGCACGGCCCCAAATACCAGGGCAATACCGGTGGGAGGCCGTTAAGTTGCTGGGCAGGGATGGAGCAAGGAGCCCAAGGGGAGCGGGGGGCCAGGAACAGGTTAATTTTGCCCTTGGAGTCAGAAAGGCATCAAAGCAGAATTGCTACAGAAGGGAAACTGAGCAGCTGCCAGACCCAAGAGCTGCTGCTTTACCTGATGTTAAAAAGGGAAAGAAAATGTCGTTTCCTTTGGTTTCTTGAGAACCTGAAACTGGATTTCTGCCAGCATGAAGAGAGCCCATTACGTACACCCTTATATATAGACAATGTCTACAGGTACCTTATCTCTGGGAAGTCTCCAGCTGAAAAAGCCTGGCTGAAAGGTGCGGCTCCCCTTTTAATGTCAGCCCCCAGGGTGGCACAAATGGTGACTGTGTGGGTTCGTTTCTCCTGAGCAAAACGTGAGGTTGCAGCAAAGGGGAGTATGAGATGGCTGGAGGTTTTCTGGTCCAGGGGAACGTCCCATCGGACTGCGATCCCGTTACATACTCAGTCTGCACCAGGTTTCATTTAGGACATGGGCAAATCATTACTCGCCCTGTGTCTCCGTTTCTGTGCCTAAAATACTGAGTGGAATAGCTACCAGGCATTGGACATCCCAATGTATGTACTCTAGGATGTGCTTACTATCTGCATTGCCCAAGACTTAGTCAGAAAAAATAACAAACATTTGATATTACAATAATGGTAGCAAACTGTGAAAGTCTGCAATTACATTAAATTAAAACCCGGTGAGGTTCACCATACTCCAACGGGGTTGCATGAAACAGGAAGCATATTACCATCAAACTGTGTTGCAGCTGAAGTATTTTAGGTTTGGGACATTTGGATTTTAAAATTAGAAGTTGAAATTTACACAGAGACATACTTCAGTCGAAACCTTACATTTCACCAAAAAACTACCTTTAGCAATAGATTTTCCCATTCAACTCTGTTACACTGCACCATTGTTTGTCGGACTTCTTTCCCTGCTACTTCTGGTCTTCTTTGTGAGCACAGCTCAGATTTTGCATCTGCTTTTTTTCCTGCCCAACAATCAATCATTAGAGTACAAATATCTTTAAAAATCAAAGCCAGAATCACACTGTGGACCAATTGGGTTGGCTGAAGCATTTTACACACAAGAAGTAAGGACAGCAGCACATGCCTGAAGTTACAGCTCAGAGCTTAATTAATACCAGGGTTTTTCACCCTGCTATTAATACTTCCCTCTTGAGCTGAATGGGACTTGACCTTGTCACAACAAGATCAGGGCAAGTCTGTGAAAACAATGTTATGACATCAAAGCCAAAACAAAGGAATGTCATCGCATGTGTTGGAGGAGGATGTGACGGGGTCCTCTGACAGAAGCCAAACAATGTCAGTGTGACACCGAGAAACCTTCTTAGCCACCAAGCTGGTGGAGAGAACCACTGCCATGGGAGAATCTGGAGGACAGCAGTTCCTTGAAATTCCAGAAGACGTGGACTTGATCCTCAGCTGGTGTAAACGGACTGCACTTTAATGGGGTTGGACGGATTTGCATCTGTTGGAGATCTCGTCCACTGCAACCAAACTGAGGGAACTTGTATAAATTAAAATACCACCCCGCCGAAGGGCATATAAATTCATGAGCAGCATGCTCGGGCATTGCTCCCCATACCTCATAGTGTAAATAAGGCCACATCATATTTCATTTGTGGGTAAGAGCTCTCAGTTCCTCGTGCCCCTCTCCGGCACGAAAACCCCCACTTAAGGCTGGTTACTTTTCCACCTGATGCTTAGCTGGAAAAGCCTCACTGAGCAATCACTGTTCTCGTCAGCTACCGCCTAGAAGGGGGGGAGTTTCCCCGTGCCCCCTCCCCTTCCCTCGAAGAATTAACAGTACGGCCTTAGAAGGGGATTTTCCAGTATAAACAGACCTGAGCCAAACTCTTCTGCTGGCCTCTCCATGCCCCAGCCCATATTTGCCCCATGTATAATTACCTGTGGATTTCACCTAGAAGACAGAGGATTTCACTTATAACCCCAAATAGGCAGGCTCTGACGTAATGGCAGTCTGAGGAATATAGGTCAGGGAGGTGGCCTGGCCACTGGAAATGAATTTCTGAAGCAGAATGAGCAACCTTGTTAGAGGGGAAGATAGTAATCAGCAGTGGGCCTTGGATCTAAACATTTCACCTCCAGCACTCTTGCAGCTACAGCCCTCATCTGTTTCGCTTTCCTATTTTAAGTTCCTGACTCATATCCTAAATATTGACTTCTATTTTTCTATTAGCACTGGATTTTCAGCCTCCATATTGACTTTGACTGTACCTATGGTTGATATTAAGCCTCTCAGGTCAACAAACTTTTATAGCTGTTAGCTGCTGAAACCACACTGGGCAGGAACTGGCACTATAGAGCAGTAGCTAGAAGCAATATTATTGGGAATTATAAATTATTCCTCTGCCTGAACTTTTCCTCTTATTAACATAGCTACATTCATTTTTAAACATGTGGCAAACGAATCGCACGGGGAGGACAATTGGGACTCTGTGATCTTGGGAGCCCCCGCCACCACCAGTGGGGACGGATTCTCCTCTGGGAACAGCGGAGTAACGCAGGCGAACTGACAGCAGGGGTACGGCAGCGTAATCGCAGCTGGAAATACCTGTGAGGACAGACAACACCCAGCCCGAGGATCAGAAGCCCCAAATCCATCTTAGCTGTACACACAGGCTCTTAATCTTCTCCTTTGGCTACTATTTTAGCAGGACGCGTAACTGAGCTGTTGCAAGCCAACATCAGAGAGCCCTGACCATCCATCATTTGTAAAACACTTAATGTATGGAAGAAACAATAACAGCATTAAAAGAACATTATGGCGGTGACAAAGCCAAGCCAAAAAGTGAGGAAACACAGCAATTAAGATTAACTTATGCCTCGCGGCCGAGTCTTTTTCTGCAGACCACATGCTGGCTTTTTGCACAGGGCCCAAGCTCGGGTGCGGGGCGCACAGGAGGTCCAGCTAGCCACAAGCTGTGCCAGTCATTTTGCTAGCACGGGAGGACTGCAGCGGTGGGACGTGGCAGGAATGGTCTGCTGCTGCATCCCTTGGACATCCCGTCAGGCACTGCCGACCCCAGCACACGTCCCTGCACAAAGAGCTCCCCAAAAGGGCTCGTTTCCAGCCAGCCTCACCGCCGGGCAGAACGTGACCCGGACCTATCTTCAATTTTCAGTCCGTGCCACGTTCAGTTTCATACTTTCTCAAAAGCAGTTATCTCCGAGGAAATGATTCCTGGGATGATAAGCCATGAATGACTTATTCAGGCAGTGTTTTCAGCCCTTCATCAGCCTGCTAGATCTCACACTAATGTTCCAGTCCTTCACATACTGATTCATTTTTCATGTGCTACCAGGCCTTTTTCAAGCAACGACTGCCAAACTAATGCGCTCCGGCCATGTAGTAAGCTATTTCTTTCCCTTTTTGTTTTTCTTACCCCATACCTTGAGTACAAGCCTGAGGAAGGAAGGAAGGGTCTGTCAGA